AGATCCGCCCCTGATGTATGTGGATACAGAAGATAAGCCAGCCGAGCAACAACAAAAAATGGCCCTTTTGAGGACCAACTCATACTACCAAAAGAGCATTGTATTTATGAATTAGGCTAGGCCAATATATCTACATAGGCTTATGATTAAAATCAAATAAGCCTACATATGTGTTGGCTTAAGTGTGAATGTTTGACTGATGAGAGACAATTTAAAAAGTATGATAATTACCTTTGATGGTGATGAGTGATCGATAGCTGCATCTCGTATCACATAACTATATGGTAGTATATCTGAAGACCACACCTAAAAAACACATGAAACTTTCAATTTTGCACATGCTATTTATTGCAAGACTTATGCCTGGCACAACCGTCACCATGTTATTAAGTGTTTTTAAGTTTCGCAAGGATCCTGCCATGACTGTGGTATTGTTATCATGAAAGCGCTGGTATAAACGTGACAATGCTATATTATATTGCAATGCATATCATGACCGTGGTAATGTAAAAGCCTTATTTTTACAGTGACAATGTTCACATTCTTGAATGAAATTAGAATTTCATTTTGTTGAAATGAATTATGAGTTAAAGTAGTAGTACATGTAGTAGTTGTCTAGATTAACATATTTAAGGTAGATAAACGATGAAAATTTTCATTACAGTATTCTCATGCTACTAAATGTAATTTAATATAACCATTGTTACGGTCATACTGTGCTTAAACATCATTACCACGGTCATGACAGGTTTTACAACCATTGCCTCAGTCATACAAGGCTTTTACATTACCATGGTAATGACAGGCCTTGCAATATAATATATCAATGTCACGGTCATATCAGGCTTTAACGTTACCACGGTCACGACAGGCCTTGCAATATAATATAGCATTGTCGGTATACCTACCCCCATAAATGTAGGGTTATATTGAGTTTTTTTTAAATTTAAGACATTTGTTTCTCAAAATAATTATTTTGACAAACAAATGTCCTAAATATAAAAAAAAAATCAAAATAACCCCACATTTATGGGGGTGGTACTACGGTCCTGGTAGGATCCTTGCGAAACTTAATAAAAACACTATAACATGGTGACGGTTGTGCAAAGCATAAGTCTTGCAACAGATAAGGTCTCAAATTTTGACGGTTGTGCCAGGCATAAGTCTTGCAACAGATAGGGTCTCCAATTTTGTTGAAAATCGGATCAAGAACTTTGGCTTTTAGTACAAACTCCTTCAATTTATTCGATAAATTGGTAAACCGGAAGTCATATTATCGGTTTTATTTCGTATATATCTCGAAAGATACCTGATGCCCCGTCAAAACTACTTGAAAATAACGAAAAACGATATGTTTTGAAACGAATTTCAACCATTTTGAACACCAAAGTTTAATGGCCCGCTGAAGATATGGTTTGCAGCGTACTCTGGTCTCATCGACTCAAAATTTATGTTCGTTGTTCGGACCCTCCAAAAACATACTTCTTTTCAAAGCATCGCAACGTTCTATACACCAAATTGAAGAAGAATTTCTTACCTTTTAGAAAATTCAGGTCGCCATATTCATTCTACATGGAGGGGATCCCCTTTTGACTAGAAAGAGGTCGGGGTCGAGATCTCGAAAAGTATCGCGAAGGCGCGAGATGTGCCAAATTTTAAAGAGATTTGGAAAAGAAATCTCTCTAAATAGGGCTTGGCGCAGATGACGGCCGATTGCCTGAATGTGTTAAATTTATTGAAGCACAGTTGGTATAAAGATAGAAATCCGATTTATAATTTCAATCCAGATGCCTAAAATTTAATAAAGAATGGACTGTTGTTGTGACCTGTAGTCATATTCTCCTCTCCTGGTGAATGGTTCAATGATACAATGGTACAATACATCTCCTCTAGATCTTGATATACATACACTTGGTATAATAAAATGTTTGTAAAATGCAATCCGAACTTTTTATGAGAAATATGTCATTGAATTCGATATTCAACATATTTTTTATCTGTGTTCTATTTTCTCACATTCGCCAAATTGTGTTTTCTATACTTTTCATGGTTAAAGTTGTCATCTTAGTGTTACTATCGTGATTAAATTGAAGTTGTCTGTATAGTTTTTACGTTTGCTTCTGCATCTCGTTGGTAAATAAAAGTTAATTTCCTTGGGGTCAGAATCTAGTACAGATGAAGGTCCGATCTTTTAAAGAAGTTAAATGAAACTATCGAAGAGGATATATGTGTACTCATTCAAATAATACACACAGACTCTACCCTCGTGTAATATGGGTTTGGGGTAGAACATACATTCATGCATTTATAAATCTCCATTTTTGAATTATACTCTACAATTCTTTATTGCTTGAATAATGAACTGTCAACATGCTTTTCCAATGTGTAGCTAAAGGAACAATCCGGAAAATTGGTAGATTCGATGCACCTTCACAATTCTTTACATTTTGCCCGAAAACATTTCTTAAATAAATGTGAATGAGTTCTGGATTATGATCTATCTTTAACATATCACATATAAGAAAATATGGACTTCAACAACAAAACTACGGGGAATTAACGCACAGACAAAATCAAAACTTCTCGTAAACTAGTGAAACAGATATCAATACATATTCCCTATGAATTAACTCAAATTGAAGTAAAACAATCTTACATTTTTTTGTTTATTTTGGAGGAAGCGATCTAGTCTAAAATGTATTTGCTCAATTTATGAAAGAGGATTCTGAACTATAGTAGCGGAATCTGAAATTGAATCTTTGGTTTATAGTTCCATCCGATGCTTCGTTTATCAAAGTTTTGATTTCATCATTGATATACGTATTTAATTAAAATTTAACATAAGGTTAAAACCATCATTTGTTTCACAAAAACACTTCTAGGCATGTAAAAGTTAAAACACTAAATTATAGTTTATCCAGTTGAGAAAAGTAACTAAAGAAAACAGAGAGATAAGAGTAACTATGCTGTCAACAGACTCACACCATTGTAACACGAAGAAACTGCTCGTAGCAACCAGACCAGCGAAAACACAACTGAATTTGTCAACACTGCGCTCATATTTCTTCTGGTTTCCACACAGTATCAATCTAACGTGTTTATTTTATAAAGTCTAGCAAATCGGAAATGGACTTTTAAATGGGAACGTGTGGACAGAACAGAACAAACTGTACTGTAATTTTCCGGATCGTGTTTCTAATGGGATACTTGGGGTAGTACGTAATACTCCAGTGTGAGATTAACTACCAGACGTTTCACATAAATCAACTAATGGATATGCCTCTCTGACTAGCGATAATTAATAAGAAATTGATGCCGCGTACTTAAAGAAAAGTTAATGTTTCTTATCTTAATACCATATCTTGTTTTCACACATTTTGTGTTAAGAAGGTCTTTAGGTTGAGTGGATAAAATGCTGAGTTTCTGTCTTGATGGAACGGGCCACCAATAAACAACCTCTGACAGATAAGAATATCTGCTAATTATAACTAATTCGAAAAATATTTACAACCCAAACACGTGTATGAACCATTTGAAAAATATGATGAACGATTTTGCAGATTTTCGTATGATTATCTTGACTGACTATTCGTCAAAATTGAACAGCAAGATTGCCTCCAAGACAATTGCATTATTAGCAATATAAAACACATCGCGATATCCTTCTGAAATCACTATTTTACTGGATATCGAAAACCCCATGTAAAGTAATCGTCGCGTTTTTAAATCTTTAAATAAAAATCGTACTAAAATCGTACTACATCATCTTCCAACCGGTTTAATCAACATATATTGGAACGTAATGATTACGTAACAAGTGACGACTTCTCTATATACTTAGAATGTTGATTTACGTTCTCATTTAACATATATTATTTATTTTTATATCACTATCATATTCCTCACTCTCTGATTGGTCCATGTAATACACGTGACAAGCGATATCAAATGATATTCACCGGTCCGACTATAAGTCCAGTGTAATTTTAATTTTATATATACCCGGGAGTACATTGTTATGATTAATTAGACATCAATATTTTGTTATTTCATCAATGTGAGTGAGGAACAAAATGATAAAACAAATATTTAATTATATTTTCGGTGAATACCTGTGACTCTTTCTCAAGATTATATTCCACTAGCCCTTTGGGCTTCGTGCACGTGGAATATCACGTGTGAAAGATGCACGAGTATTCACCTCAATAGAATTAAATATTTGTATGATAATATGTCCGGGTCAAATTAAAAATATATCTCATCTTTACCAAAAAAATACCGCATGTGAAACAAAAAGTCGTATAACTAAATTGAACCTCATTGATGACAAAATAAATAATAGAGAGTAAATGTTAAACTAACTATTAATTTAGCCAATTGTTTAACATCGCTTATTTAAAACCGAAGGTATTACATATTTGTTTTTTCTTATTTTTGAACAAAAATTATTATAACATCGTGTAACTATAGTAGACTGAGAAACAAATACTAATTAAAACTAATCAAATTGGGACCAGAGTCTCATTAGAAGCTAATTACATTATATTATCTGGTGGGGTCATTGCATTTGTTTGATTTTTTATTTGGCATATAACCATAGTGTAACATTTAATAAAGATGAAACAAATTGTTGAGTGTTGATATCCAAATACAGGAATAAAAATTTAAAAGTCCAAAATTAACGGACTGCCTCAAACTTTGCGTTTGCGATTGTGACATTTGTGATAATGAAAAGTAACGTGAGAACTTCCCAAATGATTATGGCCCAACAGAATATTAAAATAAATGATTCAATGGTTCCTGATGGCATAGGGGAAGTTAGGGGAAAAAACTAAGAAAAAATTCAAAATATCTTTTAGCCCTTTGTAATTTCATTTACGAAAGTCTAGATAAAACCATTTTGTGACTTATGATATATGCAATACCAGGTAGTTGTACATAGGTATACATTTTAAGATTTTCTAAAATCCCTTAATTATTTTACAATTTTGTGACTTCAGATTCCAATTCGGATAGCTCCTACCAGTTGGACCTGAGTTCAAAACCAAGAAAAGAACGCACTGCCTTCTCAAAGCACCAAATAAAGGAGTTAGAAAAGGAATTTTCAGTCCACAACTATCTGACTCGACTGAGGCGGTACGAAATTGCCGTGGCCCTTGATCTCACAGAGAGACAGGTATGTGGATGGATGTTTTATTTAGCACTTCAAAGAGAATAAGTAAAGATCTGAAAAATGCAAACTTCTAATTAATTATGGTGACATATTCTCTAATTTTCATGTGTAGATAAAAATGTTTGAAATCTATCGAAAGAATGATGGATTTTGTTTTGTTTAATAGTAATAAATAAATTTGCAGAACTATGTTAAATAATCTAAATAATCTGAAAATGTTTGTGAACAGTATCTAATTCGCAACAACAAGTTTTAAAATGATATACTACATGTATATAAGAGGATTTCCAATTACTAAAATTACTTGAGTCATCCGATCAATTACTTATGTCTTTTAGTATAATGGTTATCTAATATGTTCCTAAATACATTAATTACAGCGGGCCTTAAATGAGTAATAACATTACATATCAAAATTTCTAAACTTTTGATAGATAATTGAAATCTTATTTTTGCTACAAGTTTTAAACGTAATTAATATTATAAACGGAAAGTACTGAGTGCTTTTTAAAATCATGTATTTACATTAAAAGAAGTAATGCTTATTGGTAGTTGTTAGAACAATTTAATACTTCGAGTTATTATTTGCTTGTTATGAGTAAAATAATTGAACCTACTACTAGTATATGAAAAGTAACTATTATTGAGAAGTAACTTGTTCTGCATGTTCATATTTTGGTGTCAGAAGCAATTATGGATCATCCAGAGTCTGCTAGCAATGGGGATACTATTGAGTTTAAAATAGGGTAAAATAACGCTAAGAGATTTTCAGATTTTATCAATATAATATATATAGGTGAAGTTGAGTATAAAAATGAAGTATTTTTGCCCCATTGAGTTAGAGACTTAGTTGACAGACGTTTTTTCAATAAAATAGTGAAAATGAAGTGATAGTATTTGACAGTATTTGCTTCTACCTTTTTAAAATTTGCCTCGCAAATTTAATATTTGCCTCGTCAATTTTTAGATTCTGGAAACGTCCCTGTCGACTTTATTGTCAGAAAATAATGTCTAAGAATTATTTAATAACCAAATTAGAAACCCAAAGTTCCAAACCCATTAAGAAAAGCCTTAATGTTCGAAAATTATATTGAAGTAAGAAGTTGAATAAGAAGTTGTATTTTATGTCTATTGCTTCATTTTTTAACTCTGACCAATGTACATGTGCATCTACAGTATAGCTTGTCAAAAGTTTAAAGCAAGAATAACATGCGCCATGTTTATGGCAAGAACGAAGTTACCATGTAATGAGAAGTCGAGCACACATGGTCCAAGTCATGTTGCTTTCAACACCCCACCTGGTAAAGCTATCCAGCCATGATAAACTCCTATGTGCCTATGTCTTACCACATACTATATCAATCTATAATATACACGAGGACAAGCGGGTTAGTTGACGTACTGATGTTTCTAGCACGATTTAGTAGAAGAGTTCACGATTTAGTAGATACAATATGAATGCAGATTTTATGTTTAGGTAGAATGACAAGCACGCAGTTTGCCATAATGGATCTGGAAATTGTTGTTGCGAATTAGATAATTACCAACGTGTCGTTCTAATCTTACATTTATGTTTTAAGAAGTATATGGAAATACATGTTTGGTTACTATAGCAACAACATGAAAGAGATCAATTTAACGAGCTTAATTGAGTATGGGGTATCATAGAGCGCAGCGCAACAGGTTTCAACCAAGTTCTCAGCTGAGAAAACACCCAACAACCACATAAGTTTGCAAATTAGGAACAGCTTTGCTAGCAGCTGTACATTCAACATTTAACTCTAAATCCCGACAATTAGTCAGTCATCAAGTCGTATATTTTTGATTTGGCCACTCATTAGCACCAAATTAATTATATCGCTTGATATTATCACATTCTTGCTTTATTGTTGATGACAACTACTACTCCTTATTTTATGATCAAATGGTGTCAAGGATAGGTATCGACATGGTGAACTGAATTCAACAATGTTTTTCTCTAAAACCAATTATTGAAAACATTCTGTAATAAAACGGTCCTTTATGTAATGTTGACTGATTGGCAACAATTTAATGCAAAAATTATTTATATATATTTTATATAACTGTTTTTGTTTTTTAGTGCAATTTTTTCTTGTTCCTTTCTACCAATTCTTGAGAATGAAATAAATTGTCTTTCCGAACCTTTTTGTTGAACAATATAACATTTTCTTAGACCTCTCAATATTACAGTTATACAAAGGAAATTTTGGTTGATTGTACAAAAAGTATGGAAAAACTTAAAACAACCCTCAAAATAGATAAAAATGAAGATACACATTTTATTTCATTAACAAGATACTTTTTTAAAATCAACCAAACTTTCCTTTATACAAATATTGAGAGACCCTAAACACATTTTGTTTACGTCGTTTTGTTCCAATTAGGTTCGGATAGATGTTTCATTTCATTCCGAACATATGATACCAAGAACAAAAGAAGTGTCTGATGTGTCTAAAACAATATAGAGAAAATGATAAAAAAATATGTATTTCAAATTATAATGTTACCATCCAAAAGATGACTATTAAATTGACGATGTGTAAAATTTTCAGAATGTTTTGATAACTGGTTTAAGAGAAACGCGTGTTCAAAAAGTTCACCATATCGATACCACTCCTTTGTTGTTTTGAGATAGATAATCTTGAAAAAAGCATTTTTAAACATCAGATGGTCATTTCTGTAAGCACTTTCATAAAGGAAATAAATAAAATGTACATGGTGCTTTATCAGTCATATTTTTCGTATTATACCAAAGATTGAGAAGTAAATTCTGTTATATAAACTTTTACCAAATGGAGAAAATTCCCTAAGAATACTAGTATTATATAATAGACCATAACATTTAGCCTTTTACAATCACCCATAAATATGTCACACATCGTATACATCTGTTCTAAATGTTATTTTATGTTATATATTACCATGACTTTGTTACTGAACAAAATGATTAGTTACTATTCTATGATGACTATTCGAGCGGTAAAATCATCTGAAATCATGTTTTAATTCGCTTTTGGCACAACAATTTTTTGCTCGTACGTGAATGTTTATATCAAACTTCCCGGTGTCAAGGTTTAAAACAGCCTTTGCAACAGGTATAAAGCATTTAAACATAGAGGGGGGGGGTCATGGGGAAAATGCAAATATTCGCAAGCTGTAATTAATGACTTATACTCAGCTCAGTGAATTCCGTAAGACAGTGATTTAACATTTTAACACGGATAATGATAATATTAGAAAAATATTGCTTACTCTATGTCAAAAACTATATTCACAAATCAACTTAAGTATTTGAAAATCAAAATGCTTTATAAACAAATGCATGATAAATTAATAATAGCAGAATATCAAGAGAAATTCAAATTAGGTCACTTTTCATCAGAAAATGGAATCTCATCCTAACTTTTTGTATCCTGAATTTAATGGTTCAAATTTTATTGTATGTCTTGCGTTTGATATTTTTGAAATATATTTATCCACCACTGTATTATGTACATGTTTCTAAGAAATTAATAGAGTAAATGAATCCATGTCATTAGTAGTTAATTTTGACCTTCTCAGAGAGTAAGTATCATGGACCAGATATGCCAGCGGACTCGTGGGAAGTGAAAACCAAGATCTGATATGTTAAACTTATGTTCAAAAATTCAAAAAGTGTGATTTGAACAACTATTTCCAAAATGCTAAAATCTATTTTCTAGGAGCCAATCTTACATTTATAAACATGTTTAATGACATAACTTTATTTTGCAGGTTAAAGTCTGGTTTCAAAATCGCAGAATGAAATGGAAACGTGTAAAGGGGGCGACACTAGCCAAAGACAAGGTGACAGGACAGTTGAAACCACTAACGATACCAGCCCCCAACGCCACTATACTGGCATCTGATAGTGAATCACCTAGATGACAGTAGGTTAGACAATAAAAAGGATGACTGCTTTCTCATTTCGGTTTCTCTTGGACAAGGAGGGGCTTACGTGCATCCAAAGGCCAAGTTGTATGAATATGTATTTCAGTTACATGTGGTCTGCTGAAGATGACTCGCAATCGGAATGATAAATACTACCATCTTATGAAACGGAGAAGATTGAGACAATTGTAATGTAACATCAAAGTATTGCCCACGGATGCTTACATTGAAATCGTGTTATATTAGAGAAAACAGAATAATGGGCAATCTACAGTCTGTACATATTTAACAAGCGGATAACCATATATTGTGATAAAAAATATTCTTTTTTCTGAGTTCTCTATTTTGTCCTTTCATATGTTCAGGGCATTGAGGGCATCTATGATAAAATGTTTGTTGCGAGGGTGGTCTCTAATTTTGATTACATTATATAGATGTTAATGTGCGAGTATCTTGGCAAGCGCCTGCTCATTCCTGATGAGTTATGATAATTTATACTTCTCAACTCGAGGATGACGAAAAGCGACTCCAGAATTGACAATATTAAACAGGTATGCCTGTCACTGTATTTCCACAATCATTTCTATGACAAAAATGATGATGCTTGGAGACGAACAGGTTCAGATTAATGAGACTTTGTTATGACAATAGAAGTTATAAAACATGTTTTTGTAGAAAATGCAGATATGCACTCTAAAATCACGGTACCATACGGTATATTATGAATATGGTATCGTACGGTACATACGGCATTATATAAGTCAACTGTACGGTACCGTACGATACTATATTCAAATTACCGTACATTACCAACGCCAAACCGTACCGTACGGTACTGTTAGATAATATGGAGTTTAAGCTTGTTTTTTCACAACCTAAACGTGAACGGAAAATATTTAGCGATGCATTTGTATGGGCGATTGGTCATACGTATAGGTTGGCGTTTCGATTTTATTTGCGAGCTTGAACTCCCTATTGGCTGTGTACTGTACGCATGGCATCAAATGAATGTCTCTTGTGATATCAGAGCAACTCAACTGTGTTCATGTTCATATATTGTTGGCACACTCTGCAGCTGGCCGGTGATGCCAAATGTGACTTCATCCTACACACATGTGACGTTTTAAATGAAAGATGGTTGAATACAACAGGTCTGGTTGAATATGAGTTAGCCATATGTGAAATATAACTCAAAGGAGTGGTATCGATATGGAGAACTTTTTGAACACACGTTTCTCTTAAACCAGCCATAAAAAATCTAAAAATTTAACACATCGTCAATTTAATGGTCATCTTTTGAATGGTAACAATATAATTTGAAAATATATATATACTTTCATCTATATCGTTTTAGAAAACACATGAAACACTTGTTTTGTTCTTGGTATCATGTTTCCAGAGTGAAATAAACATCTTTCCGAACCTCATTGGAACAAAACGACATAAACACAACATGTTTAGGTCTCTCAATATTGTAATTGTATGTTTTAGTTGATTTTAAAAAAGTATCTTGTTAATGAAATAAAAGGTTTATCTTGATTTTTATCTATTTTGGGGGGTTTTTGTTTTGATTTTTTGAATACTTTTTTAAAATCAACCAAAAATTCCTTTGTATAGCTATAATATTGAGAGGTCTAAAAACATGTTGTATATGTTATTTTGTTCCAACGAGGTTCGGAAAGACATTTTATTTCATTCTCAAGAATTGCTAGAAAGGAGCAAAAACAATTGCACTAAAAAAACAAAAATGTTAACAAAAACAGTTATATAAAATATTTCTAAATAATTTTTGCATTAACTTGTTGTCAATAAGTCAACATTACATAAAATACCGTGTTTTTTACAGAATGTTTTCAATGATTGGTTTAAGAGAAAAACATTGTTGAATTCAGTTCTCCATATCGATACCACTCCTTTGTATCTGTAACTAAATATACTGTGGTACTAACCTTATTTTCTGAAATATAAATTGTCCCCACCTTGCAATATAATACAAAGTATAGGATACAAGACATTCACAATACATTTAGTCGTGTGTTTAAATTAAGGAATAAATAATGATAGGCCATTCAATATGGTGAAATTCAGCACGAGTTGGACAGAATGTCGTACAAAGCACGAACCGAAGGTGAGTGCATTTGTACTGACATTCTGTCCAACGAGTGCTGAATTTCACCATATTGAATGGCCTATCATTATTTATTCCGATTCAAACATATAAAAAATGAAAACATTGTTCAGAGAATTGGCAAACTCGAGCTCGCTGTTATTTTCGCCATTCCCAGGTGTGACGTCACAATGCAAATACAATACGTAGATTCCCGGATGATTGGATAGAGCACGGTCGTGCATCTATGAAGAATTAGAGAACGTTCTATATTGGCTATGCTGCATTCTGATTGGTTGAGAAATTCGAATAGAGCACGGTCATGTTTGAATCTTTTTCACACGTTGCAAATGATTTAACATCACTTTAAATAATGATTTTTGCTAGGAAACCTTGCTATTCTTTTTAATGAGAGTATTTATACGTTTTCACTCAACTGCCAAAAAGTGACGGAGATTTTTGAATTCAGTGAAATTGATTACCCTCATCGATTTCATAATATCAAGTTGTATGAACAATAAAGATATTCCGTACACTACAATGGGGCGTGTAGCCAGAGTATTTAAGAAATAAGGTCAGGGTGTGTCAGTTACATGTAGTTTCATCTTGAGGCGTCTACGCCTGTTATAGAGATTTTATTTATATTTAAACTGTACTTCCTTTTGTTACCATGTACATAAAGTGTAATATATTTATACACAAAATAAAGGATATAAAATAATTTAAGGTTTGTTAGAGAAAATAGCTATAGAACGCTGGCTTTACACCGGTAGGATTTTAAATTAAGGAAGATGTGTACACTCCCCTCTATAAGTTTGGCAACCTTTTTTCCCCATTGAACTATGTGTTAAAGCCTCTTTACGTTTGAATTTTTATTTACTTAACCGGCGATGAAATAAGGTATAATATTGATGGAAAAAGTAACTTGACTTTATTTCCAATACCTCCAAATTTTCTCAATTTTTTTCCTCAATTACAATAGGTCGAAAATTGATGATAAATTTGATGAATTTTTGAAAATCGTCATTCCCATGTAATCCAATGGGAAATTGAAGGTTCGGGGCAAATCAGAATATCTTTTCAGTAAAAGACTCAGCGAAAAATATTTTTATATAGAAAATTGAATTGTCTAACTTTTTAGAACACTAAGTGTTCAGTTTATTTGATGAATATTAAAGTTACAGCGCTTCAAAGTCATTTTTGAAAATAATTTTTCGCCTCTTGTCTTATTTCAATGGGAGAGGTTTTTTGAAAAACAATTTTGACTTTAAAGCCCTATAACTTTGTTGGACCTGAAGAAACATATCAATTTTTTGTTAAATAAAGTTAGCAAATTCAATTGCCTGCCTAACTCGTATTTTTTGCAAGGACTCGGATGGATGGATATTCTGTCATATGACTTGCGGCAAACCTACCATTTCCCATTGCTTAACATGGGAATGTCGATTTTCAAAAATTCATCAAATTTAGCATCAAATTTCGACCTATTGTAATTGAGGAAAAAAATTGAGAAAATTTGGAGGTATTGGAATTAAAGTCAAATTACGTTTCCATCAATAGTATAAGTATTTTCATCGCAGGTTAAGTAGATAAAAATTCAAAGGTAAAGAGGCTTTAACACGTAGTTCAATGGGGGAAAAAAGGTTGCCAAACTTATGGAGGGGAGTGTACGTTTTGAATTTTTATCCAATCCTCATTGGGGTCACATGTTATCTCAAAATGGTCGAACGTACACATTGACCTTACATGGGCTCAGTGGCTATTTCTGAACCTAAGATGCGCCAAAATAAAAAAAATAAGACTTTTAGCATTTTTAATAACATATAGTCCTTGGTAATATGGACTCTCTATCCTGGAAACGTCCATAATTGCTTGGTAATATGGACTCTCTATCCTGGAAACGTCCATAATTGTACTCCCTGAAACACCTTGTCCAGGTAACAGCTTCTGAAAATATTCATGTAGATACTTCATTCTTGCGTGCTTAAAATCTGTAGTCATTGAGACAAATGTTCCTGGGCTATAACGGAATTAACTGATGGATATTTCATCATATATTATACACATATTCTGTCAGAGAAAGAGATAATACTGGATTCTGTTGGTGCTGCCATCTTTATATCGGCCCAGAACCTATGTAATTTATCTCTCTTGTTATTCGGATCAATTTTTACCACTACACCTCATCTCTACAACTCTACATTTATCCTTCTCCTGTAATATGGTTTCTTTTGTGGAGCCAAGTAAGTACACTTTGGGTGGGGTGCGTCGTCTGGGATTTGTCATTGTTTGATATGAAATCGACTCCTTCTTCACAAGGGTTGTGGTCGTGTCTTTGTCTGTTTCTGATTCGTCCTTGTCTCCGCATGGTGTGGCTTCACTAGTCTTCTCACCTGGAAGGAACGAAGCAATTTTTATTTCATGCACTTGGTTCGAATTATATTGTTTTATCTAAAAATTGCTATTATGCCTTACAATGACTAACATCGTACGCCAATTAAGCCAATTATATCCAATGCCATGGCATAGAGTTGTATATATTTGCTAATTGCAAGAAGTACTGAGTGTACGAGGGTTGATCCAAAAGTTCTCCACCGTTTTATCTAAAAAAATTATTTCTTGGTGAATTTTGTTCAGACTTGGTCAGAAGCAACATGAATATGATAGCTTGGTATTGTATTAATATCATTGAAAAAATATAATATTAACTATGTCATTTGGTTACCATAGTAACAGGACAACGAGGAAGGCGGAGCTGAATATAATCACTGTTTATTACAATTTTTTGTCAAACAACATGGTATTATTACAGAGTTTTAACAAGGGGTTTTAACATTAATGAAGGCTTTTATTTGATGCAATATCAATGTTCATTCTCCTTCAAAATGGTCCCCACCATGGGCTATGCATTTATTGCATCATTTTATCCAATTATTGAACACATGCCGAAGTCCATTCTCAGCGACTGAATACACACTGTTGGTAAAAGCTACAATCATCGACTCATCATCTGCAAAACGAATCCCACGGAGGGGCTTCTTAGTGTAGCCAGTACTGTGGAGATGGATTGGATAGGCCAAAGAAGACAAAGGTACAGAAATCTACATCTAAAGTGATGTTTATCATCTTTTTCGACATCCACAGAATCATCCTCGTTCACGCCGTGCCAACTGGAGTTACTGTGAATTCTGCATATTATTCAAAGGTAAATTGTGAATCCCAGGTTTTGGACCCGACTTGGACCCTGTGTTTTGGACACATGACTTCTTCAATGTCTTAGTTGATAAAATATGCCTTTCCATGGTACCTTCATAGTTATACAATATGGCATGTACATGTATTTGGGTCTATTCGTGATAATAGAAAATGAACTGAGGTATCATAATTGATGTGTTTCAGTTACTAAGGAAGAATCTGAAAGATGCCATCAGGAGAAAGAGGCCAGAGCTTATTGCAGATTGCTTCTACTTCCATCATGACAACGCCCCTGCCCACAGAGCTAACATTACAATTGAAGTTATACATGAGCATTTACAAGCAGAACTTGTCAAGCATCCCCCTTATTCCCCAGATACAGCTCCCTGTGACTTCCACATATTTCCTGAAGCTAGGAAGCCCCTCCGTGGGATTTATTTTGCAGATGATGAGTCGCTGATTGAAGTTTTTACCAACAGTGTGTATTCAGTCGCTAAGAATGGACTTCGGCATGTGTTCAATAATTGGATAAAACGATGCAATAAATGCATAGCCCATGGTGGGGACTATTTTGAGGGAGAATGAACATTGATATTGCATCAAATAAAAGCTTTCATTAATGTTAAAACCCCTGGTTAAAACTCTGTAATAATACCACGTTGTTTGACAAGAAATTGTAATAAACAGTGATTTTATTCAGCTCCGCCTACCTCGTTGTCCTGTTACTATGGTAACCAAATTACATAGTTAACATTATATTTTTTCAATGATATTAATACAATACCAAGCTATCACATTCATGTTGCTTCTGACCAAGTTTGAATAAAATTCAACAAGAAATAATGTTTTTAGATAAAACGGTGGAGAACTTTTGGATCAACCCTCGTATAACCATATGGTAGAACATGCTTTTGAATATAAATTGTCAAAGTTACTCATGTAAACTGTAGGATATTCTTTAGATCATATTTTTAGTTTACATTTTTCTTAGATATTGCCACGATACATAAAAAATCTCTTGTTATTTTCAGAAACGCATATAACTTATTCCATATATGGCCAGTATCGCGCAAAAGGTGCATATCTGGGTTATTAGTTGATAAATACTTGAGGTTTATAAAAAGGAGAAAATGCAACAACCAGCATTTTTGTTTTAGAAAGTAAGTCACTAAATTTTGTATATTTCACATATTGTGTAAAATTCTTGTCCAAACTGATAGATGTAGAACATGAATGAAATGTGATATGTGTGTATGGCAATAACAAGGGTGAGGCCATTTCAGTCATCTTGAAAACAAAGAACAAGAACTTTCTACAAGGAATGGCATTTACCGAAGAAGGCTGTCACATGAGAATTGAGTGATTGGACATCTCTGCATGTACACGTATATCTTATCTGAATGTATATAGCAAGCAATATCACGTTCCGCTGTGGCTAATAGAGTCATGGTAAATAGCATTTACACTCCACATTTTCATAACATGCAAGAAAAAACTGATAATGAAGGCAGAGATGTGATTTGACTTTATGGTCAACACCTCCAATTTTTAGATTTTTTTTCCTCATGTTGAAAATCGATGACAGATTTGATTCCAATGTAAACCAAGGGGGAAATCTGGAGGTACATGTAAAGGAAATATATAACACTCCCCTCCAAAAGTTTGGCAACCTTAGCACCCTCATTGAACTACGTGTTAAAGCCTCTCTATGTTTGAATTTTTATTTACATAACCTGTGAAAATAATACTTAAAATAATGATGGAAATGTAACTTGACTTCATTTAACTCAATTACGATAGGTCGAAAATTGATGATAGAAGATAGAATCAAATATTTGTATAATATTCAGTTATATGAGTTTTAGATCCTGTAATGTCTTGGTGTATTGCCGTTTGTGAGTATTCAATGTGATGTGAGATGTGTGATATATAAGTCAATGTGAAATAAGTACTTTGAATAAGAAACCCCATTATTAGTGTGAGAATGGTATTGTTATTCAGATTATTTAGACCTATCATTTTTCAATTGGCTTGCAGTAACTTGTACAAAGCCACCTGTACACATGTTCAGTTTCATACTTTTAAATAAAGTTATTCCAATATAAAGAAATAATGATCAGTATGACAATAAATAATGAGTTGAGAAAAAAGGTGATTCCACCTTCAAAAGCCCATTTTACATAGTCATCCAATGACCTCCAGGACTGTCAATAGATGGCGAAAAATTCAGTGGATTTAATAGCATACTTAACATGTAAAAATTGCTCCAAAAATATCCCAAAATAAATTTTATTGAAAATATCCAAAACCTTTTTATTTTGAATCTTAAACATTTTGTAAATAGTAATGAAGGAAAATATGATATTTATGAATTTGAAGTTTTAAAACAGCAATATTTACACAAAAACCAATGGGCCAGATGTAAAGAACAACCTAGTAGTTAAGTGCCATCTATACGAGTCCTGGCTCCCATTACATGAATCGTCCATCAAAATATGGCAGGACATGCGACTGTCACTACCTAATTTTTAAAAGTTTGTCCTCACATCTCCACAAAGCATGCAGCAGTACGAGATACCTTCTCTTTTGATTAAAAAGAATCCATACAGGCCGAAACGAGGAATCATTGATATAACTTCAGGTCCATAATATAACATGGGAAACGTGGGTTTAGAATATGTAATGGCATCATTCCTATGGGTTTCAACTTATCATGTGTAATAGTAGGGGTAGGTATGGAGTGTGGATTTCACATTTTCTCGTTATAATAAATTGAAATAAAATATCGTATATTTTCTAAATCATGCAAGCTTAATAAATGTGAATGCACATGTTAATGAAAGTGAGGCTTTTTGTCAACAACATGTATCAATTAACAATATTGTATTACATAGAAACACGTTACCTACAGCAGGTTAAAAATCGAGTAACTATGGTAACAAGATACCTGTTTGTCCATCTGCCAAGGAAATCAAATTTAAAGGCCCCATATAAAGTGTAAACCATTTTGGCATTTTAAAATTTTCTCATTGAATCTTATGGTACATAAATACACATGATAAGACTTATTTTCAACCTAGGCCAACAATATTATACAATTATTTAATTCTATTGAAGTGAAAACCTGTGCATATTCACAGAAAATAGAATTAAATATTTTTATATTATTCACTGTTATATCACTCACATGTGATAACAAACTCTTGATATCTATAACAGTGCACTCCCGGGGATATAAACTGGACTAAGTCCTGACTGGTGAATATCATTTGTTATTTTAGTCACGTGTACATGGACCAATCAGTGAGTGAGGAATATGACAAATATAATAATGCAAAATATTTGTACGAGAATAAAAATGAAATTTTTTTTTAAATATTTTGAAACACAGAGTATCATCATGACATCACAAATGTCCGGAATTACAAGATGAACAAATCTTTTTGAAATGTTCAAAATAATGTCTCACATGGTTTTTGAAGTCATGAAAAGTAATTACACTATATTTACAAATTTTAAACGTGCCTTTAAATCGTTCAAAACGATGAAACCTCACTACAAAATAGATATGATAATATAAAATAATTAACCTTTATCCAAATGTTTGAGCAGGTTACATCCTTTGGTTCCCAAAGACTCCAACGTTTCATAGTCACTGGTTCCTGCTTTTGGTGATTCGTGGCCATCATCGCAGTCTCTCGCGATCGGCTCGAGGTATGTAGAGGCAGTTCCCAAATTGGAGTCTGTGATTCCACTTGACCATTCTGCGTAATATAGTCTTCGTGGACGAACGGAACCATCGGGCAAGACTTCATATGTGACCCTCGGAACAACTAATTTACTACTGCTACAGCCCATTGTTATTTTCGCACTGTACCAAGGTGCTAAGAAATAATTATGACCTATGTCTATATATAGTTTATCCAATCCACAGATATGCTTAAACCAAGAGAGGTGTCATTGTATTTCAAAATGTTGAGTTGGGAATCTATGTAAGCAGGAACCCATACTCATTTCTATTCCTTTTGAAACCAATGAACCCAAATCGCCTTGTTTTTTATAAAACAAATCAAGCTTAAGAATATATTGTCTGCTATTAGTTCATATCCTGTGTTCAGCTTGATTACTGCGTGAAAGATGTGATATTAAGAAGAAGTATATTGCACATGCTATGTACGTGACGTATATAATAATGTACTTATATGTTATGCATGTGTCAGAGTTGATAATTAGAGATATTAATCGGCACTAGATCTTGTTCTAATTTGGTTCATACAAACACAGACAAACATATTGAAATAGATTCCGTTTAGTTGGAATCAAATATTGTAACGATAATGTCCTGATAAAGACGGTGTAGTCTTCAAAGTATATAAAAAGAGCAAAAATAGCAAAAATAGCCATTTTGACAAATAAGTTGGTACTAAGACTTGATAGTTGTGTCCTTCTAATAGACACCTTGAAGTAAAACATTTTTCGGCGGTAAACCGACATAATATTTCCTAGCTGTGCTCTTTGATTCAATGGGGTGTTAAATAAAATTTAAAGATATTTGAGTGAAATCAAAATCAAGCCCGCGATTATTCGATTGTTCCATTATTAACTCCTCCTCTCGGTTACCATAGTAACCGCTGTTTCCAGGTAACTGAATGAATTTAATTGTTAGTATTCCACACACTGCTTTAACTAGGTGGAGACAAGTGCAGTACATTCACTTACCTGTTGCAATATATTCTAGAGAAATATGATACGTTTAATATATCTTGATAATTGTCTATGTACTTATTGGAATACGCGAAGCAGCGTGTGTCGACCCCACCCATGTTTTCTGAATAATAACGAATCATTCAGGTACGAGAGAGACTGTTATTCCGGTTTGACTTGAATTTGTCATTTGATGTCTGCACGTGTTGGCAAATAATATTAGGCCTATCAGGATTGTCCACGAATCCCAAGAATGGGCCTTTGTATTGTATTGTATTGTATTGTATCGTATAATTCTTATTCCTTCATATATTGAAGAGTACAATTAAGAGTTACACGTCGCACGAAACTGGGGACAATAAGCGTAACATTATGGCGTCAAAAAACAAGACAAAACAATGAGCATCATAGGGCGCAAACAGCCTTACAACGTCAAAAACGACAAGCGTCACATTTTTGTAAAGATCAGTCAAACTAAAAATAAAATACTTTATCCTTATCTAATCATGACAAAATTCACAGGGTAGCAAGATCTCGAGGACAGTATTTCTAAAATGTTTTTGAATTTTGAAAAACGGTCAAGAAATCCACTTGGGGCGTTGGTAAAAATTGATATGTATGGAATTGGTGGTAAAAATTCGATGCGTCACATTTTTTTCAAGTCTCGAAAACCAGCTCTTATTTTAATATTAGGCTTATTTGCAAAATAAACAAACTGGTTATTGTTTTGTAAATTTCGCCATGACAATATTGTGCTGTTAATTTTTCTTTCAAATCAGACTAAATTAGAAAGTTAAATGAAGGTAAACTCATTGCTCGTCCCATTCGCCTTCAAAATTTTGAAAATTTTAAAAGCTTTCATATGAGATAATTCGAACTGTAGCCGTTAATCAATTGTGACGTCATAAATGAACATGTTCCATTGAATTAATTGTGAAATTTTAGGGGGATTTTGATCATTATTTCAAAAGTTATCCCAATTTCAACGAGCCCTGTAAGCGTAAAGTGTTACGTCTTACAGCGTATTTGACGATGTCGGTATATATTTAACTTTAAAAATATGTTGGATCCCATCAAAACTTTGACGGAAGAATAATTTCACTGAAATGCGAATAAAATTTACTTCAAAATGATATATAAAACACATAATTAGCTTTTAAAATAGGGCAGAGATTAACGCTCAAAGCGATCGGATACAATAAAGCAATGCGTTATAGAAATCTTAGAATTAACGCCAATTCTTGACTTTAGATGGCATTCGTGGGTTTTTAGAGATGGCCGCAGTTAAAACCTTTAGAGTTCATCTGGTAGAGCATCAGTCTTTGGATCTAAGGGTCCTGGGTTCGATTCCCACATGGGGCATTGGATTTAGCACACGTTCTTTCAATTTCTATATCTGGCTTGTAACACTATGCTCCCTAGTATTTCATTCTCCTGGGGCGCCCTCGGGTCACTATAATTTTCTCCGTGGGTTTGCATTTATAGTATGTACAACTTATTGGCTGACTTTGTCAGATAAAATGTTATTGAGTTAATAGATATGGATATATCGAGCGTCTTTGTAATATTGTCTACATGTATACCAAGAGTAGTGATGTTCAAGCAGTAATATGTAGGTAGGTTCCAATATACTTAGACATTTGACATGCTGGAATGTCATTTGCGTAGTGCTTCAATATGTTGTCTAGGGCGCATGCGCATGATCAAAAAACAACAAAAACACGGAAGGTTCGATCATTAATATTAATATAGCATCTTACTGGTTGTGGATATTCGTGAAGAGTGTAATCAGAAATTGTAACTTGAAGATGTATAACATAAATCGAATCTGATTATCACAAGCTTTTCTCTTCCAAAATTAGCTATAGATACATGTAGCCCTAATGCAGGCCCCTAGGCTAAGGTTTCACGAGATAGTTCATGCGGTGATAGTCATTTCACCATTTTGGTTTGGGCACTTCTGTTTTAAACATCACTGTGGTGGAACTCTTCAAATTGTTTGCGTTTCGTCAGCAAAATGTCGCAGCCTCGAAGGTACGATTTTTTCCATGATTGTACGAGATGTCGGCAGAATCTTCGAATTCACGAATTCACATATATATGTCTCTGGTTTGCATAATGTGTTAAAGAAAATCCAAGCGTTTGCGAACAAATAGTTCACGAGACGCCGGAATCATCGATATAATTTTCACGCACTGAACATATTCGCACTTTTGATTCAGTTTTGGTATGTCTTCAAAAAATGAACTACACATGTACCTTGTCGAATTGCTTCCAGGAAAAATAACCTCATAACAAATTATCTTCATTGAAACTTGGTTTTCTTCAAGATTGACGCAAATGCCCCACAAACTGTACCAAGGTAAACAAAAATTAGTGGCGACCATAGTTTAAGATGATTGTCCAGGCGGACAAAGGACACGCGATCGAATGATATTAGTTTGTTTTTTATAATCTCACTTTTAAGAACAAATTTTCTTCCTCTTAAAAGTAAAATAAAAAGTCCAATATCATTGGCTCGCTCAATTATTTGATTATTTACCTAATTTTGCTAATATATCTATCGTAAATATTTCAATGATTATACATTTGAGAGATTGAAACTTCAAGTAATTAAAGGTGCATTTTGAAATTAGAAACCAAGTTCTTAATTGAAAAAAGTAGACAGATAAACTCTGCACCATCCTACCCCCTGAATTCGGTATTTGCCTTTGTAATATTCAAAACATATTCTGCCCCGAGACTGTTCATGATCATGACTTTCTTAGATGCGATAATAGCTACTTTAACACCATTTACCATAAACCTTGTTGTTAACATATCGATCCTACAAAAATCAATGGCTGGTCCAATGTTAAGTATTCATTTGCAACCTCAAAGCACATTATATGGAATGTATAAAAACAATAGGCTTATAATCAGAGCAAACATCGGGGATAAAGACATAAATCACAGGGTGGAACTCCTCAAGTTCGGACCTAAATCTTTTTTATCAATACATCTTTATCATATACCAATGATATTGGCGTATCTTCTCCTAAATTATTTTACTATTATATATACTACTATACTACTAGACTATCTATCAGACTACACATGATAGGAAAACATGATTAAGATAGTCGACGTCTAAAATGTAGAACAAAATAATCGAAAAATGCATAGCTACAAACAAACATTTATTAAATGGTCTACATTACAATCACTGAACGATCTACCATGGGCACGCGGTACTAACTTCGACCGTTAATTTGAATTTTTGCCCTACCAGATGTTTGGAAATCAAGGATTACTGGTCTCACACTGCACCGTTTTTCTTGTTTCAATTCCATTTAAAGCATAACAAAAATGCCATTCTGTTAATGGAACATTATTCTGTTATATACAGAATCCCCACTTCCAGCGACATTTTGGTGAGAAGGGCTTCTAATAGCTGGGGACCAAAAAGTTACTGAAACGAGGGACTCTTTGGCAATTTTATTCTAACCTTTCCAGAGGCAAACGTAAAGTTTAAAAGGCATCGTGTCGGGGTACTAGAGAGAATTCAAAACAAATCCGATAATATCTAACATTAAATCAAAGTTGCTTGTGTGCCTCTGGGACAAGGGCAACAATGGCGCCATGACATTTATAAGCAGAATATAGTGAAAATTCTAGTTTCCTACCCCTACATCATTCTAGGGCCAGCTTTCACTGAGCTTTATGTCCCTTTTGGAAGCGTTTTCACGTGATATTATAATTATATCACCAACAGAAACTGATGACATATTGTTCGGCGGTGTTCGGCGGTTGTTGTTCGGCGTTCGGCGTCTGTAATTACAAATGGCAGGTGATGATATTTTGCATGTCAATGCCTTGTTATTATTTGAACAAGTCAACATGTGTGTATTACAGGCAAACTTATAGGCTTGCTATTAACTCGAGAACATAATGCTTATGAATTATTGCATTATTAATCATTTGAAAAGAATAGTATTTCCTTGGAATGGGATCTATTATGTTCATCCTTATACCTCCCTTGAATCATGCCTATATTTGGATTTAGTGTCAAATGTGGCCACCTTAACAACTATAATCAATCTGAAATATATATTATATATCACGATCAATCGCTAACTGGTGTCAACTCTTTGAAAACAGTACTTAGTGATTACAGTGTACAAAAACATAAAACTAAAATTGATCGAAAGGGAAATCAATAATTTCTTATTATTACGGGGCTTCAATTACCGTCCGCAACGTTCAGTTATGATGATAGAGCATGTATTTTATAGTCATTCGAAGATAAGTTGAACTGAACATCGGGTTGACAACTAAGCAGCTTTAGGTCCAAATACCAAGTATACAAAATTAAAAGTGTGGAAGTAAATAAGTGGTTTGAACATTGGAATTACGTTAGCGTTCAGCCATGCAGCTCGCTGATGGAGGAAAAAGAAAGGTAAGATTTTCTTACGGACGATGGCATTTTCTTTTATTAATAACACAGTTGATAAGATGATCACGACTCAGTGACTTATAAATGTAATTATGGAAAACCTGAAACAACGCTTAACAATGAATTAATTTAAACATAACAACAGCAACAACCGACATTATAGACGGAATTGACGAAAACAATTTGTGCACAATTAATAGAAATAGAGGTATGTATGAACCTGCGTAGATATATCATGATCTTTAATTGTAATCTTTATTTGAGGTTTTAAATACAGGGCTTATTTCAGGGGAAATATACGTATCTCTCGAGAGATATCATTGATAGAGGGAGCTACACATAGTTCTCGAGGGTTTAACCCAGTATCCAAACCAGCCATACACGTGTACTTTCTACGTTCTATGTTTCTTCTTGTATTAATTTCAAAACTATGAAAGAGACACGTTGGTTATCGCAAACAAGTCTAGATTTTGAATTTTTTATCGTAAAAACAGGTGAATCTTTTAGATAAAGTATATATAATGATGATTAAGTTATTTAGACTTAATAGTGATATTGAAGGGACAATCAACATACTTTTTCAAGAATGTTGACCTAATTTTCACTGAAAAACAACCTTTTATTATAATGTTCAGTGTATAATAAGGATGTTAATTGAGACATGATTTATTTCATAAAAGAAATGTGAATTGATCCAGGGAATTAAAAGATACTAAATTTTAATGACCAAAATGAGCTGAAATCAATGGACAGCATGCGTTTTAATGGGAAACACTAATCTTCGAGCTAAAGTTTTTCTAATGCATAGAAACTCGAATTCGAGTAGCCCAAGATTTGGGCTCTGGTTTAACCTTTGGACGAATTGATCAGAACCACTTTCGAGTGCATATTCTATCTATGGATTTCATCTATTTATTTATTTATTTAGAAATTACGCTTTCACAACAGCGGCACACAAAATTGGTGCGTCCATGCTGCCTTCACTGGCGTTAAGCGTAACTTGGACATACTGCTCCGTAAAGATTATGATACGTGTATATCTGTGGAGCTTTGCTGAATTCTTTAGATCATTTGCTTAAGTTATATTTTTCAAGCACGAATGATGTGAATGGGCTTTAATATTGGTGAAAATTGGTAAGACTCGTATATAAACAATGGTTTGTTGAAAGAATTCGGTCGATTTGTCAACTTATTTTACTTCCTAGTCCATTTGTCATTTTCTGAACGTATAAATATTTAAAAGTATGATGTTTTTCTGTGTAAATACTATCATTAGGGATTATTGGAGTGATTTAGCTGGGTTGCCAAAAAATAACCTTGGGGAAAATTTTTGTATCTATTACCATGGTAACATACCAGGTATATGGTGGTATCCAAACGTTAAGTCAGTTAAATCGCTCGTGTTAAGCGATTGCACCCCTCCCTAATCAGCCTATATCATTTTTTCCCCAAACAAACTTTTTGGGCAACCCAGTTAAATCACTTCAGAAAACCCTTATTATCATAAATCGACCATAAAACATCGTACTTTTAACAATTTCTAGGTTCACTATTGGATGTATAGGGGTGACAAATGGACTATCTACGTAACCAAAGCATCATGATAACGTAACACCTACTTCAAAGAAAATACATAATGAGGTGAGGGTTACGTTATCATGATACTTTGGTTACGTAAAAGTGAAACAATTTGACAAATCGAATGAAATCTTTTAACAAACCTTATATATTTTACCGATGTTCCATATGAATAAAAGCCCACTCACACCATTTATGGTTGAAAAATATATATCAAATAAATGATCTAAAGAATTTTCGGAACCCCCTGCATATTATACATGTATCACGATCTTAACGTTACGGAGCAGTATGTCCAAGCTACATTTTATGTACGTTCGACGCCAGTGCTATATAACATACTCTCATGCGTCTTGACTAAAATCTTTAATTAGAATTGTAAGAGTGGATCGACCACATACTATTGGACGAGACCTTTATTGTTGTTTCCTGTGTTTATTGGAGACCATTATAGTTCTGATAGCCAGTAAAGCTGTTTTTATAGAATGTTAGCCGTGTCAATGTTCGACGAGGGATGGTGAAAACCCATATACGATAACACTGTATTCCTTAAAGAGAAAAGAACGTAACGTTACCATAAGATCAGTGTTGAATATTTCAAGATTTGTTTTCAATCACACACCGGAATAGCCTAACAACGGTAAGTCAGATACCGTTGTCACAAATGGCGGACATAACTGCCGCTTCAACTCTTCAATCACTTGGTCCTCATTTCATGGGATTTTATCGTCGCTAATTCTGTGCATGTGTTAAGTTCTTGTGATGATGTATCATATGAAATCCCAATTTCGATAAAATTTGGTCGTGAATCACCACAATATAGCGTCTTCGATATCGTCAATGACAGCGGAATCTGAATTTGAAATAATTTACAAAGACAACGGCATATGATAATACATGTCCTTTGTCCCATATCTCATTTTGATCGGTTACATTAAAGACTTTATTTCGATGGTAGAACATTATTTAATTTAACTGTACAATGAGTATAAAGGCACTTTGATTGATTGTTGTTCCAAAATAATTTAGTCTAGGTGCTCGATTAAACATACAGTTCATGGAAATCAAATTGAAGCGACGGTTATGTCCACCATTTGTGACAACGGTATCTGACTTTACCGTTGTCAGGCTATTCCGATTTTAAGGCTAGTCTCTATTCTCTAATTAACATTTAATAGCAGAATTTATTATTTACACAATTAATTGTATATTCTTCAGAGTTGGTCCATCCAAAGAATTTTCTGTTTTTACTTAGCTTGCACTCCCCATGTGGCTGTTAAAGTTGCTTCAAATTACACGTTTCTAAACATTAGAAAGCATGCATTCTTAGGAGCGTTGCTTTCATAAACACAACGTGTCTAAAATCCTTTTTTGACGCGTAAACCGGGTACGGATGTGCATGACGTCACTCTTTAGAGATACATACTGAGATGCGAAAACATAATCACATAGTTAGGTACTATAAACACATGTCATATTCCAAGATGGCCGCCATTTTGCGACGATTTTCGTAGGGTTTCATTTGGAATTCTCTGTTACTCAAAAGCAGTGTTATCCAGTTGAAAGACGTGCCAATTCGTCCAAAAGTTCAAGATGTCTGCCAGCCAGTGACATCAACCCCTCAATATACTTTGTAATATTCCAAAGTTCTAAAAATTAAAAGGAAGGCACCAGAGAGTACCGTCCAAAGAATCGCAAGGATCTAATAATTGCATGTCATATCTTTGCGAATGACTGATTTTTCTCTTTTATTTTTCCAAGTTTACCTGCCATCCGGTATATTTTACATCGCTGTAAATATGTTGATTGATTGCAAAGTCACTGAAAAGTGGTCATTAAAGAGCAGTTGCAGGTGCTTGTACATAATTCATACTTTTTATATTGCCCATTAAAGTAAGATACACCGCGGATATAAAATTATTCATGCAACGTTGAGTGGAGTCTGACGATTGAATAACAAGAATACCATAGAGATTATATTAGATGAACAGGTTTCGTTGTTTCTAGAGAAATTTAGCCTTAAGAGTGGTGACATTTTAAACGAAACGAGAGTTAGATAATAAAAGGAATCGATCCAGTCTCGATCTGTTGTTGAATGAATCACGAAACAATCTAATCTAACGGAAATAAGAAACTTATCTCGTTGAAATGAAATTACTAAATTTCAATTTTTAAAAAAGAAAAAAAGATTCGCATTGATCATTTTGTTTTTATTCACCGATGTTCTTGATTTGAAATGGTAGGAAATGAGATTGTGCTATTGTGCTTGTAGGGATGGGGTAGCGATGATCATAGAGGTGGAAGGCGAGGAAGTGTCACGACTAACAGCCCAGCGTTAAGTGTTGGTTCCAGCGCTTGCTCTGAATTAGAAGCACTCGTAGACGACGATGAAGGGGTACGAACACCTCCGCCAACGCTACCAAAACATGGACACGAGAGAGCAAACCATCAGCGGGGAAACAGTGTCGATTTAGGATACAATTCCCTCTGTGATCAGGAAACATCCCCTTCTAATTTTAAAAGGAATTCAAATCAGAGACAAGGACAGACAATCCAAATGACACAAAAGACAGCATCAGTGCCACAACGTATCCCAAATCGCTACAGCAGCGAGCAAACGGAGCACATGGGCTACGCACCGTCCCCGCCGGAAAACGCAAAGCCTTCCAACGTGCTAAGCGTGAATCAAGTAAGAAGCATGGTCCAAATGAGGCGGAGGGTGAGGAAAGTGCACCTGCCACCAAACGATGGTTTAACCCTATGTGAGAGGATACTTCTACACAGACATCTTATTAATGAAGGGAAAATCCCTCCACAGGTAAACAAATTAGAATATCCGACATGGTTCAGCCATGCATAATATCGAATTCGAAGGCAACCCTTTGGAATTAATAGCTAGTACTGATAAATTATATCAGATTTATCAACCTAATAGTTTTCTTTATAATAGCGTTTGACAGTGGGATGAGACTTTGTCGATGAACTTTTTTCTAAGATGGTCAATCAATAGTAGTCCTTGCCATACGTTCTTTTATTGATAAAAGATTCCTGGTAAATTATACCGTCTACACAGGCTAATCAATGCCAAAGAGGTTTCTTGTTAAAACAATAGAAAGACATGCTGATGTTGTAATAAAGTAAGCGTTCGGCGTCTAACAGCTCCTACGGTCAATAATGATCTTTGGAATTGTTCATTTTGTAATCTACTCCTTTTCACATGGTTCGAGATTTCTTTGGCCGGATATGCCATCATGGAGGATTAAGAAATTTGAATTGTCATGAAATATCCAAACTTTAAAATATCCGTGTCCTCATACATACATTTTACATTTGTCAATGTACCAAGACGTCGAATTTCAAAATCGAAAGTACGTTTAATTTGCAATCAAATGTTTGTTGTTATTGACCATGAACCAATAAGATATAATTGATCATTTCATTATTTGCAACCTTAATTTGTTTAAAAGTTTTCATCCTCTTGGCATATATTATTACCATTAGGAATAAAAAATGCCCTGGATCCTTGACAATTAAGATCATTTATATATAATAGCCTCCCGAATTAAGCCCTTTGGGGAACTCCATAAGTGAAGATTTCATTTTCTTCCAAATAAGTATCATCAATAAAATTGCGTAATGTTAAAAATATTAAGAAAAAAGTATTTATAAAAAGAAGTTATTCACCAGGAGGGATTTGATATGGGGAATATCACGAGGATGACATCAATATTTCCCGGGGGAAAATTTGAAAAATAAAAATGTTTCGAAAAATGAAAAATTTCAGAAAAAATGTTTGAAAATTAATAACTTTTTGAATTTACCCGGGATGATATCAATGTCATTCCTGATCCCTGATATCATCCCTCTAATCCTGATATCATCTCTGTCCCAAATCAGATGTAAATGCCTGAACAAGCATAAACCATCCCTTTTGCAATACTTGCTATTATATACCTGATATTGCTCTAAATATGGGATAAACACGTATATATTTAAGTCATTCGAATTATCACTGATTCTGTATTTGAGACACTGGCGTTTTCCCATTTTCAATTTAATTTATATTCAAACCATGGGACAAAAGGCGTAATTCGAAAAGAATTATCAAGAACCTATCTATATGCTATTATTAAATCACACTTTCAGAATTGTTTTTGTTGGGTCGTGTCTTTAATAGGATATAAAGAATTGATAATTCAATTATTCATGCTATAATCATTCTACAGGGGGATGAACCAAACAGCCAACGTTGATGATGATATCCTCACTGCGTACAATACCCATTACTTAGTAAATCTAACTAATGGAAAATCTCACAGAGGAACACTACTGATGGATTAACCATTCTCATTATTTTCATGTCTCATGAGTTTATGGTTTCCTCTCCATGTACTATTGGATGTTTAACGGTTCATCTAAAGTTTTATTCATTCTCTGTTGCCTAGAGATCTAGTAATCTATACATCCATACTAATACGCAACAAGAGAATAATGAAATATATCCGTGTTGGTTTCACTATATAAAAGGGCAGGAAAATCGGAATCTCGGTAATGCATGCGCAACAGTACCAATTTTACATTCTATTGTAGATGGCCCTTGTACACATGGATGTATAAATGCAAATGTTATTTTCTTTTATGACGTGACTGAAAGTTTTTGTACATTTTGGTTTAAACATTATTTCTTCTTGTTTCAGACCATGTCCTTAAGATACGTGATCATTGCCATGATTAATTAATTATATTTAATTAAATCAAATGTAAATGCCTGAACAACCATAATCCATCCCTTTTGCAATAATTTTGATAACCATACAATGACCAGTCATAACTATTTAATTATCTATTTATTTTATATACGTATATGGACCAACCTGTACTATATTATATACGTATATGGACCAACCTGTACTATATAACTATACTACTTATTCTATTTTGTTTCATTAAAGCCAAAGGGAGTTGTCTGGAATACGGTCAAAGAGGGTTCGAGTCATCAAGCGGTTGTAACAACACAAACCTCTACGGATGATCCAGCAGAATACCCTGATGGGGACTCCTCTGATTTAGAGACCGAGGAGTCTTCCGAGGATGAATCTGAGACGGACGACAGCGAAGAAGAGGAATCGTCGCAAGAGGAATCTTCCGAGTATGACTCATCCGTCGAGGAATCAGATTCTGAATCGAGATATTCAAGCGCCCAGAGTCACCAAAGTAAAAAGAGTACGGTCAGTAGTGTATCGTCCTATGCAACTGCTAAGAGACATTTGAGCGTATCGTCTGCTGACTCCTATAGTGCTGACATAGCCCCAGTAGCAAATGAGATACGTCACACAACGATACACCAAACTGTCGAGCATCATCATCATCATCATCACACACATAGTCCAAAGCAGCAACGTAGACATGAAGAGAGAGTTCATGTTTTGAGTGAGTCTCAAACTATAAAACATAGCCCAACCTTGAAAAGAAACAATAGCTCCAAGGCAGAATCTGTTAAATCGGGAACTAAAAGTGAAAATTCCAAGAAAATTGTGAAAGAGGAAATTGAAATGAAAAGAGTTAAAAAGAAATCCGCAAAAAAATCTGCAAAACATGTCAAGGAAATTATAGATCAAGAGGTGGATTCTAATACACATACCAATGTCGTAGTTAAGTCCTCTTCGAGTGCTAAAGAAAGAAAGAAAAACAAAGAACGCAGTGTCAAACGAGTAAAGTCAGAAAATTTTATAAACATTGATAGTGAGGAGCAAACTACAAACGAGAGTATTACAAAAGACGCCTGGACAAAGAACACGGAAACAAAGGAAAGTTCCAAAGGAAATGGAAAAAAATCTGGTAAACGGAAAAGAACAGCTACAAAGCAAACAGAAGATCATGACAAGCAACAAGAACTGTTCCACAAACGAAGTGACAAAGATGAACAGTTTGGAGACTCTAAAATCGTCATTCAGCATAATGAATCTGCTGAAATTGCTGAAAATGTACATTCCCGAAAACAAGAACATATCAATCAAAAGAACAGTGAAAATGACCCTCCAAAAAAGTACATTAAAGCCTGGAATGATGATGATGGCATGGAAACCCCGAATCAGCTAAAGGAAAAATATAAGAATAAGACAACTGCAAATACTAAAAACGAAACTAAATATAAATCCGTCAAAAATGAGAAAAGCAGAGATAGTCCTACCATTGATTTAAAAGCTGACATTGACACCAAAAGAGAAAGTAAAACAAATACTAAGAAAACCAAGCAAAATGACAATGTTGGTATAAAAGCAGATATAGATGTCAATACAGATATCAAAACTTCTGCTAAGAAATCGAAGAGACGTGACAGTGTTAAAGAAGACGTTGATGTCAAGACAGAAACTGTGGATTCTGCTAAGAAAACTAAGCAAATTGACAATGTTGATATTGACATTGCTGTTAAAAAGAACATTAAGAAATCTGCTAAGAAATCAAAACAAAAAGCCAATGTTGACAAAAAGCTAGATATTGATATCAAAACAGACACTGAAACTTCTAAGAAAGCAAACCAAAATGAAAGTGTTGATATCAAGGCAGACATCGATGTCAAAACAGAAGCTAAAACGTCTAAGGAAGCAAACCAAAATGAAAGTGTTGATATCAAGGCAAACATCGATGTCAAAACAGAAGCTAGAACGTCTAAGGAAGCAAACCAAAATGAAAGTGTTGATATCAAGGCAAACATCGATGTCAAAACAGAAGCTAGAACGTCTAAGGAAGCAAACCAAAATGAAAGTGTTGATATCAAGGCAAACGTTGATGTAAAACCAGAAGCTAAAACGTCTAAGAAAGCAAAACAAAATGAAAGTGTTGATATCAAGGCAGACATCGATGTCAAAACAGAAGCTAAAACGTCTAAGGAAGCAAACCAAAATGAAAGTGTTGATATCAAGGCAAACATCGATGTAAAGCCAGAAGCTAAAACGTCTAAGAAAGCAAACCAAAATGAAAGTGTTGATATTAAGGCAGACATCGATGTCAAATCAGAAGCTAAAACGTCTAATAAAGCAAACCAAAATGAAAGTGTTGATATCAAGGCAGACATCGATGTAAAAACAGAAGCTAAAACGTCTAAGAAAGCAAACCAAAGTGAAAGTGTTGATATCAAGGCAGACATCGATGTCAAAACAGAAACTAAAACGTCTAAGAAAGCAAACCAAAATGAAAGTGTTGATATCAAGGCAGACATCGATGTAAAAACAGAAGCTAAAACGTCTAAGAAAGCAAACCAAAATGAAAGTGTTGATATAAAAACAGACATTGATAACAAAGCAGAGAAAGAAACTTTTAAGAAATCAAAACAAAAAGACAACGTTGATAAAAAGGCAGGCGTTGATGTCAAAGCAGACACTGAAACGTCTAAGAAAGCAAAACAAAATGAGAGTATTGATATAAAAGCGGGCATTGATGCCAAAGCTCCCGTTAAGAAATTAGAGCAAAATGATAATCTTGATAAAAAGGCAAATATTGATTTCGAATCAGAAACGCAATCATCTGCTAAAAAGGTCAAACAAAATGCAGACAATAAAGCAGAGAATGAGATAGTAGCTCAGTCTACAACCCAAGCAGTGGACATAAGTATTGACAAAATAGCTGCTGTCGAAATCCAAAATGATAAAAATAACTCTAATGATACTACTGTTGAGATACAGGCCAGTATTACAGTTGAAAATGATGGGAACGAAGACCCTGATAATGAGCCTAGTAAGCCTGATTCAAACGTTGACTTAAAAAGTGGAAACATTGATGTTGATATATCAGCAGATGTTGATGAGAACTCCGATGACGAAGCAACAAATGTGGAGGTAAATATGGTAAAAAATGATGATACAACATCGGACGATCTTTCTTCGACACATCTTGATCCTGATGTCGATAGCAATGCTGGTGACTTTACAAACAAAGAGGATGCTACTCTGGAGTCAAAGAACAACATCCATATTGATGCAGATATCAATCAGAAGCCAGACATGGAAGATCCTATTCAAACTGCTGAAGGGGAAACACCAGAAATTGATGCAGTTGATCTTGCTGTTTCTGCAGACCTAGCTGACTCTGAATCTGGCAGTACATCCTCTTCGACAGAACCAAAAAGTAAACCACCCTCAGCAAAATCAGAAATCAAATCTACTTTAGCCACAGCCCCGTTAACAAATCAAAAAAGTAAACCTCCATCGGCAAAGGCAGAAAATAAACCCCCTTCCACAAAATTAGATAGGAAACCGCCCTCCGCAAAATCAGAAAGCAAGCCATCCTCAACTAAACCAGAAATTAGCCCTGAGTCAGCCAAAACGAACGACAAACAAGATACTTCTGTTGAAACCCCAACAAATGAATCACCTCCGCCATCTAAGACGGACGCACCTCCTCCAAAAAGACCTAAAAAGGATCTGGTAAAAGATAGCAAATCAAAACGGGAACCAGTACAAGAGGACCCATCCATTGCAGCAACAATAAGGGCGTTGGACAAGCGGGCAGATCAAAATCTGCAATCAATACTAAACCCCAAAGAAGACGTTGATATCGTTAACAAGCTGCTGAAAGATGGCAAAATGTCGGATGATGATATAGATGCGCTAGAAAAATCAATAACTCCTATACCAGATGAACCTGATATTGATGACGAAACTCTTGATAAACTAATTAATGGTGATTTCAGTAAAGAATTAGATGACTTTTTACACCAGGTGTAAATAGTCACGACACCGCAGCAGTGCTATTGGAATGTACAGTGCTCAGTGTTGCCAGTGGCATGACATCCATTGTTATTTATTGATATCCTAGTATCTTTTGAATTTGAACAGCAGTAATATTGCGCTATTGTAAATTGCAAACAACATGTTTGAGGCTAAGTATTGATTATCTTTCAAATGTAGGAATTCCTACACTGAGGCAAACATTAGTTTCCTACCGTAGGTGTAGAACATTTTTTCAAAATAAGAATGGGTAATTGGGATTTAAATTGAAAACAAGCATCACTAGGACTAAAATGAATGGCATAATTCCAATCAATAAAATTGCTTTGGGCTTTTGAATATGGATGGTATTTGATATCGCTACTAAATTCAAAGAAAGAAAACATTTCAATACATCGAAAGAGTTTTCTCCAACTGATCAGTAACAATTTTTTGTCAAGTTATTGAAAACTAAGTGTTACGTTCGAAAATAACAGAAGGTAAAAACAGCAATTAAAATATGATAACAATATATTTATATTTTGAAAACTAAATAATTTAACAATAATATAAAGGAGATTTAATACTTATGTGATGTCCAATCAATGATACGGCTTATTCTTGATGTCGATAAATGTCGTTGACGATCCTTGAGAATGTTCCGGATCACGAAATGTTTCAATAATCGTTAATAGTTCTCCAATGTTTGTAATAATCCAATAATGTTTGTTGTTATCCTATAATGTTCGTATCCAATAATGTTTGATGATAATCCACAAATGTTTGATGATAATCCACAAATGTTTATGATAATCCACGAATATATATGATAATCCGTATATAATGTATGTTGTAATATATGTCCATATAAAGTCCTCAGGTTGTATGTTTGTAGTGTTATAAATGTTCCCACAGTAATTATCTGCTAAGAAGATATCCTTTTGATAAACTTTGAAATTCTGCTTTATTTAGTTCCTTTGAGATGTCCAGTTATGATTACTTAATTATCTGCTACTGAGTCCACTTTGCAGTTTTATTTATAGTGTGAAAGAATCATCTAGAAAGAATCTTCTGGAACTGAGACTACTTGTTGAGTTTTGATTGGACATCTCCAGTCACATGATTAAGTCTTAATGAATGATTATATTTTCTAGAACTCTCTGGATGGTCAAGGGTTAATGAGTCATTCAGTTCAGTTTTGTTTACAAGATATAATGTCATTGTGACCTTGACCTAAGATCTTTAATGAAGATCAGTTACAGTATATGCATATTGATAAACTAAACTTAATGTGAATATAATAGAATATAATACTGTAACACCTCCCTCCTTAAAAGAAAAGTTTTGAATAAAATGAAAAACTTTTACAAAAATATCTGGTGTAGCGAGGGTTACAATTTCTAAAAGTGAGGTTGAGACTTACATAATATTTGTTTACAATATTCTTTTTTTTATATGCAGTATGTTTACAAATATATAATACTTTCTATCGTTACAGTGTGAGTACAATCTAATAACATATAATTTTCTGTAATAATCCCATACTACAATAATATCTACATCAGTTATGCATTAAGTCATAAATACAATACACGCAATAGATCATATAACATGTGCAATAGCATAATTTTTGAGTCTGACAAACACAAAACTAGTACAATGTTTTAAATGATCTTATGTAAGTATTTCTAATAGTACACTCTGATGTTATCAAGTAATCTTGTGACACTATTTAATGATCACCTATAATGCTCATATAATCTAGGAACATTCTTGTAGTTCATATAATATCAATTTCACTATTTAGGCAAATGTTTTTATATACAGTATATAAGTGACAGTTATCTCAAATCTCCAATTTGCCTATCATATAATATAATCTTCATGAGTTAATCATTATAATTTACAATATCTGACTCTTGAATAACATACATGTATAGTTGTCATTGACATACAAGTTTGGCCTACGAGCTAAGAGCACAAGCTCAAGCTCATGTTGAGTAAAGAAATTTTATCACGCTCAACATACCTTTTCATCATATGTAGCTCTCTACACCTCACAGGAGTAGTTTTATCAATGCAAATGAAATCATTCAGCACTGAGTTAGATTGTAAGTCAGATATGAGCTCCTTTGGTAGCTCAACTAATGTGGAATTGTTGATTTGTGTTTTCACAATATACTTGGTTTTGCTATTTCTAAGCATAAGGAGTGATTTTGTTTCTGGAAACTGTGTGGCCATGGACAGAATAATGAGCAGATATTGATTGTCAGATTTTGTTTTTGGTAAAGGACCAACACAGTCAATAAGAACCTTACTGAATGGTTCATCAAATGCAGGTATAGGGTGTAAAGGAGCAGTTGGAATTTTCTGGTTAGGTTTCCCTACCATTTGACATGTATGACAAGACCTACAATACTCTTGGACATCTTGTTTTAATTTGGGCCAAAAGAAATGATTGAGTATTTTATGGTATGTTTTAGTTACTCCTAAATGACCTGCCATGGGAGAATCGTGAGCTAGACTCAAGATTTCCTTATGATATGATTTGGGGACAACAATTTGATGTACAATTGCCCAATCGTCTTCAGGGGAAGCTTCAGGAGGTCTCCACTTTCGCATTAATATGCCATCCTTTTTGTAGAAACAAACAGGGACCTTGACAGCTTCATCATTAGTAAGACATCTTTTATGAAGATCAATGAGTGATGGATCATGCTCTTGTTCATAAATTAACATGGGTTTAGAATGAGGATCATTTTTCAAAGAATCACTATCAGAAATAGAGGATGAAACCTCAGAACAAGGAGGGGATGAAACCTCATGAACACTAGCAGAAGAAGATGAAACTTCATCAGAACTAGCAAGAGCGGGCGAAACCGCATTAAAATAGTGATCCTGCTCAGAAGGTGAATCACCTCTGGCAATAGGCTTTTTCAATGAAGAATTTGCCTCAATAGATGACTGCTTGGCTTGAACAGAAGGCTGTTTCAATGAAGAATTTGCCTTTAAAATAGGATAAGGATCATCTTTAACAAGTGGTGAGTGACATTCATCATCAAACAAGGAGCTTAAAAACCCACTATCAAAGTCATCTCCCACAGACGAATCCCCGCTATTAGCTAACTTTTTAGCCATAGCCCTAGTAACAGCACAAGCAGGATATATATCAGAGTCCTCTTGGACAGAATCCTCAATAGAACAAGGCTGATCAGAAACAATGGGGTCTAATGATACCTTACCCCCAGCTAAATCATTGCCTAAAAGCAATGCGACTCCTTCAACAGGAAGTTGTGGCCTAACACCAACAATAACTGGCCCTTTGACTAACTCTGATGTGATATGAATACGATGGAGGGGAACTTTAGTAAAACCTAATTCAATGCCTTGCATCAAAATATGGGTACCTGTGAATGACTCCTCAGATAAAGGAAGGACACCTTCTAACAACAAAGTCTGTGATGCACCCGTGTCTCTAAGAATCTTAACAGGCTTTGAATTGGTATCATCACTTGAAAGTGACACAAATCCTTCCGACATGAAAGGCTTATAATCCTCCATAATATCACTATGAGTAGATTTCTCAGTATGAGTATATGAATCCCAAACAATGGGCTTTCTTGAAATGGGAACTGTAGCACAACCATTTGAATGAGCAGAACCAGACATCTCTCTTCTATTCTTTATCCTATAGCATTCAGATATAAGATGACCAGGCTTTTTACAATAATTACAGGTGACATTTGATTTTGGACCTGAAGAATTTGATTGATCTGATTTTGAGCTAAAACTCTGTGATGAATTAGACTGGTCTTTTGCTTTGTTTGATGCATTTGATGATGAGGACTGATTTGATTTTGAATCATATGAAGGTTTGTTACCTTGATAACCTCTAAAGTTAGGATTGCCCTTGATAAAACTACCCTTATGAGTAAGAGCATAATCATCAGACAGGGTGGCAGCTTGACTTAAAGTTTCTACCTTGTGTTCATCTAAATAAGTTCTAATGTGATACTGAACACAGTTTTTAAATTGTTCTATTAGCATAAGCTCTCTGAGCTTTTTAAACTCTTCAGATACATCTTTAGAGATAAGCCACCTGTCAAAAAGCTGCTCTTGCTCTCGAGCAAACTCAACATGGGTTTGGTCACTCTGTTTGTGGGCATTTCTAAATTTTTGTCTGTAAGCTTCTGGCACTAGTTCATAAGCTTTAAGAATTGCATTTTTAATAAGGTCATAATCAGAGCATACTTCTGCTGAGAGAGAGGCAAATATTTCACTTGCTTTACCAATGAATACACTCTGAAGCATAACTGGCCATGCAGATTTAGGCCAGTCTAGGCTCTGAGCGACTTTTTCAAAGTGTGTAAAGTATTTATCAACATTTTTCTCCTGAAATTTAGGTACAAATTTGAGAAATTTTGAAGCGTCAAACCTATTTTCAAAATGTTGATGCATAGTAGCATGTTCATCAGTTTTGGATTGAGCTTCTATCTCAAGACGTTTCAATTCAATTTCTCTTTGAATTTCTTGTTCTCTTAATTTTATTTCTTTTTCACTTTGAATTTCTAACTCTTTTTCTCTCAATTCTCTTTCATTTTGCAATTCTTTCTCTCTCATTTCATTTTGTAATTTGAGTTCAAGTTCTCTCATTTGTAATTGCTGTTGAAATTCAGTAGGATCAACATGCTGGGTTGGCTCTACAGTAAGCTTTAATGCTTCTTCTGGTAATATTTCTTCCGCCACCAAATATGGCACCAGAATATTTTTTATTGCACCTTTTCGGTATGAAGTTTTTACTGCCAAACCAACATGTTTTGCTAGTGCCAGAAGTTCAGTTTTCTTTAAACTGTCAAATTCCTCCAAAGAGGGCGATCCTAAAAATGTCTCAACCTCAAAACTCATTTTCAATTAATTGCTGTCTTCACAATTTAAATGTACAAGTTTTGGATTTCGAATTTTGAAATATTTGAATTTTAGCTTGTTGTAGTTGTATCCCGGACGAGCCCCCAATTTCTGTTACGTTCGAAAATAACAGAAGGTAAAAACAGCAATTAAAATATGATAACAATATATTTATATTTTGAAAACTAAATAATTTAACAATAATATAAAGGAGATTTAATACTTATGTGATGTCCAA